TTGGCTGATTGGAAAGATTTCCTGGGTGTATGCAGCTGGCCTAGTAGGTGTGGAAACTAGCCAAGTGAAAAGCCTTTTCGCTGAGTTGGAGGCACATCTGGTGAAAGCAGAGAAACGGAGTAAGAACTTTTGGGGCCCTGAACCTCAAGGTTGGTTTGATGGAAAAATCGGTGGTTCAAACCCACCAGTCACTCCTCAGAAACCCTGTACAGGGTCCCTATGAGTCGGAACAGACTCTAAGTCACTTAACAACATCATGAGGCTCAGAAAGCATTCCTGGGAGCGTCAGTGATTGAGTGACTGCTGGTCTAAAGGTTGAGATTGCAAATCCAGCCACAGGCACCACAGAAGAAAGACCTGGCTGTCTACTTCTAACAGTGTTGAGAGCCCGTTGGAGCAGCCCTACTCTACACGGATGGGGTTGTCATGGATTGGAATCGACTTGGCAGCGGCTGACAATGATGACAGGGGCTCAGAGATGTCAAAGTCACCTTGAAACTTTCCGGTCTTATGAAATTCAGAATTCTGGACTCCCAGAATTCAATCCGAACTCTTGGTGTTTATTGTAGGCAGAAGCTGCATCCAGAATGGGGGAGAATCAGCAAATGCCCCCAACTACAGCAGGTGACTCACAGGCTGAAATTGCTTTTGAAACCAAACATGGCATTCAGCACGTTCTGAGCACCAAGCTGTACTTAATCCTTGCCAGCGACCATCCGCATCCCCATCTAACAGACAGAGAAAGTGAGGCAAAAATAAAATCCATCCATGTCCAGATTTAAGAAGCTGGCCAGCTACAGGCCTGGGATTAGAACCAGAACCGCATGGAGCTGCACGCTCTGTCGATTTCCTCCTTTGGTATTCCCACCAGGCACAGGGATAGGGAAGGCCCGGGCAGGAGCAGCCTTGAGAATTCCAACTGAGATGGAAAGGAGCAAGGGTTAGTTCTGGGAGTAAATGGTCACGTGGCTGGTCCTCGACACCTAGGCAAAGAGAAAACTTTATGCTCAGTTGTCATTTCTTCTCCTTGGCACTTTGGGCCACTGGGTTTATCAAATAAAAATACAGGATGCCCACACATTGCCAGCCTTATGCCAAAAAACAATCCACTGTTTATCTTGAATTTAATTTAATTATATTAAATTGAATTTAATCCTGTGTTAAGTCTGACAAGCTTAAAGTTGGAGGAAAACTAGTTCTTCAAGCATGTTGGAGGGATTAAATTCAGTGAATTATCTTACACTCATTAAGTGTTAGATCCAGTTTCAAATCCACTACCACCACTGTCGATGCCAACTCTTAGCGACTTTATAGGACAAAGTAGAACGGCTCCTTAGGGTTTCTGTCTCATCTCTCTCCTGCAAAGTGGCTGACCTTTCAGTTCACAGCTCAGCACTGGACCTGCTGGGACAGCAAGGCGCTCCAAAGAGCTCTGCCTCACTACCGCTTACAGGAAGAGGGAGCAGATGGGAACATGTCTTCAGTCTTCTTTGCAATTGATGAAGAGACGAGACCTATGAGTGGACTGCTCACAGCTTGAACTATGGAAGAAATTATACTGATTTCAAAAGAGCTCCTGCCCCACCTCACACACGTACAGGACTAAAAATCTCAACATTACAGAGAACCTTCACACAGAAGGAAAAAAATGCACTTCTGGCCACATCCTCCCTGCCCACATCTAGCTCATTTAACTGTTTCTCCTGGCAGCGCCAACAGAGCTTGAAAAAAAATACACTCTTGCAGCTATTTCTTGACTTGGCGAGCCACGATGCGACGGACTGGCTTCCTGCTTAGTTTTTAAAGATGGTAATAAGTTTACTTAGAAGAAATTGGCTGGTTCCTGTCGAAAGGGGGGATGTTGTCAAACATGACCCAGATTGTTCTAGGCTTTCCATATTGCGTAATGGTCAAATGAGTTTGTGGGTTCACCTGAGGATGTTGGGGCGCCCGCCCTCCTCCGCACCCCCTCCTCTCCACCCGCCTTCTAATAGGGATTTTGTGTTTGTCTTTTTTCCGCTGGCTTCCCTGTGTGCGTTTATGTACTACCTGTTTAGGTTGTACCACTCTGCTGAGTCGATTCTGACTCATAGTGACCCCATGTGATAAGAGGAGAGCTGCCCCACAGGGATTCCCAGGTCGTAAGCTTTATAGAAGTAGATCACCAGGTCTTCTGCAAAGCAACTGGTGAAGTTGAACCACAAACCTCTTGGTTAACAGCTAAGTGCTTAACCACTGTGCCAACAGGTTCCTGCTTAATGAAGTACACCTTCGCTTTTGGGTTAATGCACTGGATTATAAAGTCAGTTTAAGGAGCTCTGGTAGCATAGTGGTTACGAATCAGGCTGTGAACCGCAAGGTCAGCAGTTTGAAACTACCAGCTGCTCCGTGGGAGAAAGATGAGGCTTTCTGCTCACGTAAAGATTTACCTCCTCGGAAACTCTATTCAGGGTTGCTATGGGTTGGAACCGATTCGAAGGCATTTAAAAACAACAATAACAAATAAGGTCAGTTTGAACTGCAAGGTCAGGAGTTCAAATTCACCAGCCACTCCCTGGAAACCCTATACAGGGTCACTATGGATCAGAACTGACTCCATGGCACTTAACAACAGTAACAACATGACCTATCCAAGGGACCCTGGTGGTACAGAGGGCTAAGTGTTAAGCTGCTAGCTGAAAGATCAGCAGTTCAGACCCACCAGCCGCCCTGAGGAAGAATTATGAAGCAGTCTGCCTCTTGCAGATTTACTTCCATGGAAACCGTTTGGATCTGTGAGTTAGAATCGACTTGATGCAGTGGGTTTTGGGTGTTTCTTTCTTCCCTCTTTTTCTTGTTTTCCCACCATGTCAGTTAGAGAGAACAAATGCCCTAGTCTTCCCCTCTACTGGTAGGATTTGGAGGTAGAACTTTGGACTTGGCAAAATGGGGAAAGGGCATTTCTGAGACAAGAAAACACAAGCAAAGTGAGGAAGGAGGAGAAGGAAGGGTAGCTGGTTTTGGGGCCTGGTGTGTGGGGTGCAGCTGGGTGCAGAGATAAGGCTGGGTGTTGAAGATGGCGGGCAAGCAGAGGTGGGAGTGTAGGAGGTCATGGCCCGAAGATACACTGGTGGGGTTTAGGTGGGTGGAGGAGAGGGAGGGGCCGGGAGAATTGGGAGGCAGGAGGCCCTTGTAGTTGCTGTCTCGGGCCAAGTGACACATCCCTGGCCTGGGTGATGACAGAAGGAACCAGTCCTGCGTAATCCCATGTTAAGTGGGTGGACAGACCTCACCTGGTCCCGGAAGAGGGAACTGCCCAGCTAGCGGGACACCTGAAGGTGGCAGGAAGTTTTCTAGCTTCTCTTGTTACTAGAATGAGTTTGTTCTTGTTAAGTGCTGTCAAGTCAGTTCTGACTCATAGCGACTGTTTAGGGTTTCCAAGGAGCGACTGGTGAGTCTGAAGCATTAACCTTGAGGTTCAAAGCAACCATGCAGTCCAGTGCTTTATCCTGCACCACCACACCAGGATTGTGGTCCTTTTCTCTATCACAGTAGGTGTGGGGTGTTTGTATGCAATGCCAGAAGGCGGAATCCGCTAAAGTGGAGGCCCCGCAGTGGTGAAAACACCCGGTTACTAATGGAAGGTGGGAGGTTTGAGTGCATGCAGAGGTGCTTCAGGCAAAAGCCTGCTTACACGTCCACATAAGTGCGCTGACATCCCACCATGCTCACTTCTAGGGAACATTCAGGCTTTACTTCTTCCAAGACTCATTTCTTCTTCTGACAGTCCATGGTATGTATATTCATTTTTTTTTCTCTCCAATCCCACAGAATGTATCGATTCTCCTACCTTCCTTTTTCATTGTCCTGACTTTCTCAGATATATGAGGCGACTGAAAAGACCATGGCTTGAACCCGACACATCTGTCATTTTGGGGTACTGTGATGGCTTTTGTGTTGCTGTGACTTTGGATGGTATGCCATCGGGATTTCAAAAACCAGCAGGGTCATGCGGGGTGGGCTGGTTCAAGACTGAGACAGAGTTGGAAGAAAGGCCTGGCGATCTACTTTCAAAAATTTACCGATGAAAACTCTATGGGGCACGACAGAATACTGTCTGCTATGGAACTGGAAGATCGGATAGTTCCCTAAATTAGAAAGTACCTCAAGATTCACAGTGACTCCAACAACGGGGTTCCAGTGGATTAACGATGGTGAGGACAGGTGCAGGCTGTTATACAACGAAACAGGTACTCACAAGTTTGCTGTGAGGGTCTTAGGGATGATTGGATATGGGATTCTGAAAGACTCTGAGTGCCGCGTGAATGCTCTTTCTCAGCAAGACACAAGGGTCTGCATTCGCCCACTAGGAATGGGTGACCAGTGGTTGGTTTTTCTCCCTTTTTTTGGGGGGTCACCTATTTCGCTAGATGACCCTCCAGACTGAGTCCCTTCAGCCGGTGTCCCTGCCTCTTGCGGGCACTCAGAGGGCGAGTGAGTAAATGAATGAGTGAAGGAAGGAAGGAACAGGTGAGTGGCTGCCGTGGTCGAGTGGACGCTCCGTCTGTTGGCAGCGTTTCCGGCTGACCCGGAGGCCAGTAGGAACCGGCCGGGACTGGACCGGGCTGACCCGGACGAACACTCGGCGGGGTTGCAGGACAAAGCCCAGGCGGCTCGGAGGCAGAAGTGTGGGTCTGAGTGGGCAGGCGCTGTTCGCGGTTGGAGTCCCAGAGCCAACGGAGCTCTGGTCCGAAAACGTTTGTTAAAGGAACAACACAGCCTCCCGAGAAGTGGACAATGAACGCCCAGCGCCGTGCGCGGACTAGACATCACACTGGCTGGCGTGCCTGACCACATCTCCACCCCTTAGGCCACACCCCCGCGCAGCGCCACGCCCCTGACACGTGGCTCCGCCTCCGCCTCTCACAGCCCGCGCGCAGGAGCGCGGAGAGCGGCTGGGCGGGTGACGTCACTCCGCGCCAGAGTTCGTTCCGGTGATGTCGCGCAGTGATAGCGTCGCCATGGAGCCGAAGGCGGGTGAGCAGTGCAGCGGGGTCACGGGGCAGACGCGGAGAGACCGCGGGGAATATAAGGGACGCGGAGGGCGCACAGGCACATCCCGAGTCGGGGTAGCCGGGACTTGGCCTTTTCCCCCGCGCTGTCCGCAGCCTGGGAGGTTTGGATGCCGATGGGCTCCGTAGCGATCGTCACCCTACACCCTTGTACTGGGGGAAACCGCTGTGTCCTGGGAAATTGCCAGGCGGAGACGATGGCCATCATTAGTGCGCATGGCTGGTTGGGCAGTCAGGTCCGCGAGCCACACCAGGAACCCCAACACGTACACACTAAAACTCATCTTTACGGAAGCAGATCGCCAGGTCTTTCTCTCGCTGGTGGTTTACAATCACCGAACTTTCGGTAACTCACTATGCCGCCAGGACTCCTGATTACAACCCCCCCGCCCCCCCCCACACACACAGCTGCCCAGTAGATTCCAACTCAGAGTGACCCTGTAGGACAGAGAAGTGCCCCCTAGGGTTTCCTGTAAACCTTTACCCGAGTAGATGGTCTCATCGCTCTCCAGAGCAACTGGTGGGTTTGAACTGCCAACCTTGTGGTTAGCATTCCAGTGCTTAACTGACTACACCACCACACCCAACCTTTTGCCATCAAATTGATTGTGCCCCATAGGACAGAAGAGCTGGCCCATAAGGTTTCTAGGAAATCTTTACCGGAGTAGTCTAGCCCATTGCTTTATACATGGGAATCCTGAAATGTCTGTGGTTCACTGAGATTTTAGGTGTGAGTGTTCCTACACAATGCTGGAGACACAGTCCAGGGTGGTTGGTTAAAGTGGTCATTGTAATAAGCTTATAAGAAACAAAAAACCCCAAACCCACTACAGTTGAGCCCACTCCGACACTTACTGACTCTATATGACGTTTCCGAGACTGTAAATCTTGATGGGAGCAGTTGGGCCGATATGATTGTTTCTAATGGCTTGAAAACAAAACCAAAGCAGTGTGAGTTTGGCTACAATGAGGGGGAGGGGGCTCCTTCCCAAATGGGGTACTGTTTTCTAGAGTGCTTCCTGGGAGAGGTGTTGTCCAGGTGGAACTGGAGGAGGGAGGCCTGAGGGAGGAGAGAGGTGGGTGTCAGAGTGCTCAGCTGGGTTCGTTGTGAGAGTACGAGGGGGCTTCAAAAAACCTCATGGGAAAATTCCATTCTCTTTCAATTCCATTTCCCCACAAACTTTTTGAAGCTCCTTCATAGAATTGAGTAAGATTACCAAGTGTGCAAACACAAAACCAAAGTCACTGTGGTCCAGTCTGTTCTGACTGCCCCCCACAAAACTGTCCAGCAAAACCAAACATCCGTGAAGCATTTTAAAAAGTGCCCATGTGGTGGTGCTGGCTTTGGTTTCCTGCTTCACTGGGAACTGATTTTTATATTCTTCCACTACCAAGAGGGACACAAAGTTCATGCAGATCTTACAAGCACTGCCCCAGGCAAAGAATTAAGCATGATGTCTGTTTCCTAAAATGGCATTTCCAAAGTCAGAACTGGAACAAAAGATTCCCACACTCATAAGGGATGGTAGTCTTTTCGACTGTTAACTGAAAGGTTGGCTGTTCAAACCCACCCAGCGGCACTGGGGAAAAATCCTGGTGGTCCACTTCCATGAGATTGCAGCCCCAAACCCACTCCAGGACACAGTTCTGCTCCCTAACACATGGGGTCAACATGTGTCAGAACAGACTTGACAATCAACACATACTTCGAGAACCCTTAGAGTTCAGACAAGCTTAGTTAAGGCAATAGTGAATGAATCAAAGCTACTGGATACTAAATAGGCCCACCCACCAACTCACTGCCATCGAGTCAATTCCCACTCACTGCGGCCCTGTGGGCCGGAGTAGACCTGCTCCTTAGGACCTCTGAGACTGTGGGGAGCAGACAGCTTCACCCCAACCGTAGGATAAGCAAGCAGTCCAATGCCTAACTCAGCACCAACAGGCCTCCTTACTAAACAGACAGCAAGGGTTCAATTGTTTTGCTTCTCAACAGAACTTGTGTGTCCCAACAAGAGCTGGGTAGGAGTGCTGGGTCCGCGGGCTGCGCTGCACTGTGGTCTCTGATTGCTGATGAGCTTAGAGGAAACCCTTGAGTTACGTTTCATTGATTCTGCCCTGGATTAATCATTGGTCCTGAATGTACAACTTAGCCTTCCTGCGCAGTTTTCAGACTTCAGGTCAGCACATCGAGATTCTTCTCTGGTGTGGTCGTTAACCAGGTGTCAAGAGTTGACATTGAACTGTGCTGACACAGTAGCTAAGCGCTCGGCTGCTAACTGAAGTATCGGGTTCAAATTCACCAGCTTCGCTGAGGGAGAACAACCTGGTTGTCTGTCTATTCCTTAAGTGTCGTCGAGTCGGGTCCGACTCCTCCAGCCCGTATAGGGTTTCCCAGGAGCTCCTGGTGCATTTAAACTGCTGACCTTGTGGTTCAAACTGACCTTGCGGTCTAGTACTTATAACACAGTGTCAACGGGCCAGATTTCCTCTGCTCTGTGGGGTTAAGATGAAGGCACTATGGTAGCGTCGTGGTGACGAGTTAGGCTGTCCCTGTAAAGATTTATGGCCTCGGCCACCCTGTGCAGGGTCGCTGTGAGTCAGAACTGATTCCACGGGGTCGAGACGGCTTAGAATGGAATTGACGATGGTCCTAGAGTGCTGACGTTGATCTGGGGGTGGCAGTGTGTCTGTGACTACGTGCCAAATATACCTCCTTGGTACTGAACTAACCCCTTGTCACAATAGGTGTCACCAAGCAGGACATCCGTGAACAGATCTGGGACTACATGGAATCAAATAATTTAGCCGACTTTCCCCGACCTGTTCATCACAGAATCCCAAACTTCAAGGTACTAAAGCGGAAGTATTTCTGGAGTTTGGCGAAAGGAAACAGGGAGTCCTGTGTGAATCAGAGGGTAACCCAGTCCCTGCCCTACTCCTGGGTAGGCTAGAACCCCGGGGGACTGGGAATTTGGCGTGAAACCAGAACCATTGGGCTGAGGTGGGGTTGCAGTTTGGAGATATCCCTCATCCTCTTAGTGAACTTTCACCCCCAAGGCCACGCTCTGGGGAAGAGCTGCTCAGAAGAGGTGTACCTGGTTGCTCTTTGATGCAAACAATACTCTTTCTCCGGCTTGGAAGCTTGTCATTGTTGTAGATTTTCACAAGCCTGGACTCCCCAAGGACACTGTAGAGGGAAGGGGCTATTCCAGTACTGCCCTACCATGAATCCCTTGGGGGAGACCCTAATGACTTGGGGAGGCTGCGGTAAAGCATGCAACAACTGCTAACTGAAAGGTCCAAGGTTCGAACCCACCAGCCGCTCCACAGGATAGAGACCTGGTGAGCTGCTCTGGTAAAGACCGACAACCTCGGAAACCCTACGGGGCAGCTCTGCCCTGTCCCACAGGGTGGTTATCAGTCAGAACGGATGGGGCGGGAGCAGGTTGAAAATTGTCCCATGGAGAGAAATGTCCATGGAATCAGGAGAAAGGTGGAAGGAATCCCAGTAAAAATTCAATCAGGGGGTGGGACTCTGGGGTGATGTGAAGTTTCTTTGAGTCCGTGCCAACTCACAGCGACCTTGTATGGGGTTTTCGAGGCTATAAATGTCTGCAGGAGCTGAAAGCTTCATCTTTTTCCCACAGAGCAGTTGGTGAGCTTGAACCACCGACTTTGTGGCTCTCAGGCCAGTGCTTATCCTACAGAGCCAATGTGCCCCCCAGGGCTCTAGGTAGTTGTTGGTAGCCTGCTGTTTCTGGGTTTAGGTGGGGGCTACACACTGTTCCGTTTGGGACAGTTCATTGTACAAAGAAAGCTAGGGCCAGCCTAGTTTTTTCGAGTCTGTCTCCCCTGGCTGCGTTCAGAGCTGTGTCTTTGGTATGTCCACATTCCCTGTGTCAGAGGTAGACTTCCTCTGTGTCTGCATGAGACCGTGGTACGGACGAGGTCCTCCCAATAACGGGTAGTCCATTTGACAACAGGGCGCGTCTCATGCCGCTGAGCAGCTACCACGCTTACAGGAATTCCAAGTGGCCAGAACCGTTAAAATCAATCCCGACGCTCCCCAGAAAAACGCACGCTTCTTCGTCTTGGACGTAAGTGCACCTCTGTCTGTCTGCTTGACTAGGGGTCACTCGTGGCTTGCCAGAACGTCAGAGAGCTCGAAGTGTTTGCCAGGACGCGGGAACTGAAAGTGGACCCTGATAAACCTCTGGAAGGTGTCCGGCTGCTGGCACTGCAGGTAACCCCGCTTCCCGGAGTTAAGGTCCGACCTGCGTGTTTGCCTGTATTTAGAAGACTGGGCCTCTGGCTCACCCGGCATAGGAGGGAACAGCTCAAGAGTCTCTCCGTAGCTTAGTGGTCGAACCACTGAGGTCCACAGAGTGTCTTGATTCAAAATAAACAGTGTTCAAAACGCTGACGTAGAGGCATGCTGAATTCTCATGCACCTTGCTTGCATTTATAATATTGTTTGAATCTTCATAACTCATGAGTAACACAGCCGATAAAGACGATAATGAATTAGAGCCCTGCTTTGCAACTGAAATACACAGGCACTTGTTCAAGAAAATAACAAAGAAAGAAGAATCAACTTACTGAAACTGAATTTGGTATGTGGGGCTGGCTATAGGATAAGTTGGAATGCTACCCGCAGGGTTGGTGGTTGAAATCCACCTCCGGGACTATGAATCAGAACGGACTTGCTGGTACTCAAGAAAAACATATATATGTTATTATTGTGTGTGTGTGTTGTTGTTAAGTGCCATCTCGTCGGTGTAAAGGGTTTCCCAAGAATCAGACGTCAGACGTTGACGGCAGTGGCAGTGTGGAGTTAGGAAGAGGGTCACTTTTGTCAGAACATCTATTTATAGCATGGCTGCAGGGCACACCCACAAAGGAACGCCTCTTCCTCCTGATTGGCTGCTCACATCAGCTCCTGGTATAGGAGGGATACACAGTATCTTCCAAACCACTGAGAATCGAGGCTTCTCCAAAGAGACAACATAACATTAGCTGTCACAGAGCTTTGCATGCCGTGTGGTGAAAGGAACGAACACGTATTCTCCTGGGGAGAGGGAGGAGAGGGATGCAGGGCGTCTCCCTGGCTCAGTCTCCCAAGTGGATGGACGGGCCCTCCTTTTAGAATCTTCTAGAAGCACTGTTTCTTCAGTAAATCGCTTTGATGAACTAGAAGGGATGGCGGCCGCAGTGTACTGCCAGCAGTCAACATTTACTGCGTGGGAGGCAGAGGTCTCAACCCTTCATACCATGCACGATCCTTTAGGAACCGCCTTTGTTCCCGGCTCTAAGTGAAACCAGCCCCACCCCATATACGCGATATAACCGAATTTACAGACAAGCAATATCCTTGATGCTTGTTCAGGTCGATGCAGATGAAAGTAACTTGCTGCGTTTCCTAAAATGTTAAACACAACATGTGTGTATAGTTGGTCATGTATAGTTTTGTCATTTACAGAACCCTCTTTCCTTTAATAGAGCCACAAAACCTTACTGGTTCCAACACCACGACTGAGGACAGGGCTGTTTAACAAGATAGTGCCGCCTCCCGGGGCAAGGAAGGACATCCTGAGAAAATGCGCCACCTCACAGGTAAGCCTTTGCTGGTGTCCCTGAGAGTAGACATGAATTACGGGAGGGAGCGAGAGACAGCCTCGGGACACTGAAAGTGACTTCTGGAAAAGCTAAGTGAGCAGAGACATTACAAACATGCAGCAGAAAGCCAGCTAGAAAAGACACAGACAAGTGTGGGTTCCGTGTGTGTAGCTCAGGTTATTGGCACAAACTGCTCTAATCCATAAAAAGCAAAGCAAAAACAAACCGTTGCTGCTCCTGCGCCCTCTAGTGGTGGAGACGGCGTCCTGCTGCAGAGCCATCTGACCTCTCGTGTTGCTAAGATGGCTACCGACTGCGTCACTTTGATAGTGGCTGGCCACCATCTTTGAGCAGGTTGCTGCTGGCTGTTTCCTCCCCATAAAACCTAACCCGCAGCCCTGGAGTCAATTCCAACTCATAGTGACCCACAGGGCAGAGTAGAACTATGCTCTAGGCTTCCCAAGCAGGCAGCCGCAGCATTCGCCCATGGAGTGGCTGGTGGGTTTGAACCACCAGCCTTGTGGTTATCAGCCCAGGGATTAACCCAGTGCATCCGCAGGGCTCCTACTCAGGTCAAAGTCAGAAGAGATGTGGTTGTTACACAACACGTACAACGCTCTTGTCTGTGCCTGCCCTGAGGAAGAATGGTTTAGAACCAGCTAGAGGTCCCCAAGCTGCTGTCTGTCACACAGACCTCGTAGTGTTCGAGAACTCTGCTCCACAAGGTTTGTGATGACTGATTTTCCAGCCTTTTCCTAGATGCATCTGAGTGGTCTTCAGCCTCCAACCTTGCTGACCGTTTTTTATGTGCTGAATTTGTTGCATTGTGTCACTCAATCCCACGAACACTCGGGTGAGGCAGGTGGCATTATCCCGGGTTTATACCTGAGTGTGAGCTAGGTCACTGCCGTCACACAGCCAATGGTGGACTTGAGCTGCGATTTCCGGCATCACAATGGAAGGCAGTTTGTTCAGTATGATGAAGTGGACGTCCTGTAGTATCTTCCTGTCACTCCCTCCAGCCACTTTCCTGGGGAGGAAGTTGGGGGACGCCACCCTTAAAAGGACTCTAGAAATGAGTGGGTGCAGAGCGGGGCTTCCTTGGGAAGGGGTGGCGGGGTGGCCCCAGAGGCTCTCACGCCCCACGTCTGTTTCAGGGTGTGCGGGACTACAGTGTGCCCATCGGCCTGGATGCCAAGGTCCTCGTGGATCTGATCGTTGTGGGGTCCGTTGCTGTGTCTGAACAAGGTGAGATTCCAGAGCCAGCCCTCGGGGATCCGTCAACTTATCCTGAAAGCTGCCACCCCACCAGCTCCCCATCTGTCATCTAAACCCAAACCCAAACCAAACCCACGAGTCTGACGCATAGCGACCCTGTCAGATAGAGAGAGCACAGCCACGGGGTTTCCGAGGTTGCCGTCTTTGTGGGAGCAGCCTGCCTCAGCGTTGTCCTATGGAGCAGCTGGTGAGTTCGAACCACCAACCTTTGGGTTGGCAGCCCAGTGATTAACTCACAGCGTCACCAGGGCTACTTGTACTTTGAAAGTCGTGGGAACTTGTGCTCTTTGGATGTCCACGTGTGGTCTTCCTAGGGGGAGAATGGACCGCCAGCTCTGTCTCAGCTCTGGATCGAGCTGGCGCTGCATGGAGCCCTCAGAGTGTCCATGAACAGTGGGTTTGAAGTCTTGGTCTTACTACGCAGTGACCACCCTGGGGCTTCCTGCTGGGAGGGGCTCTGTCCTGCGGGCCGGAGAGGCTGCATCAGCCCCATGCCAGCTGCATATTTGCCAGGACAGAGCTCTGGCCCTGTGTGTCTCTGCCCCGCACCCTCGGGAGGTGGGTGCTGTGGTGATGTGGGGCCACCCCCGCCGCTGCAGGCCTGGCTGGAAATTCTATGAAGTATCTGTTCCATGCCCTGTGCAGGTGACTCTTGTCCCTGTCCTCCCCCAAAACGGGAGAGATTGTCCCCAGACTCCCACCTCAGGAGCACTTGGTGTTGGGCCCGTAACTGCCAGGTTATGGTTCAAACCCACCAGTCATTCTGCAGAAGAAAGATGAGGCTTTCTGCTCCCAGAAAGAAAACATCCTCGGAAACCCTGTACAGGGTCGCTATGGGTCGGAACCGACTCGACGGCACTAAACAACAACAACATGAGTCCGAATAGACTTGGTGGCGGTGGGTTGGGTTTGGTTACAGATACTTCAAAAGAACTCTGGTAGCACGGTAGGTTAAGCAGTGGACTGCTAACCCACCGACGGTTCCAGAAGAGAAAGATGAGGCTGTGGGTTCCTGTCCTGCAGTCGCTACCAGGCTGTGTGTTTGCTTTGAGTTTTTGAGGGCAGGTGCCTTTCCCACACACCTGTACCACCCGTATGCCCTCCGTGTGGCTCGGCACACTTCCCTGTCATCCCCAGGAGCCTGGCAGACTTTCCCAGCACCCTCGGAGGCAGGTTTTTAACCGTGGAAGCAGCGCTGTCAGCTGGGGTCTTACGGGCATGTGTTTAGGTATTGCCTCCACAGGGTCACCCACATGCCAGCATGTCTGGGGCTTCTGACTGAGCCATGCTCTCCCTTGGGGGCCATGGGTGTTTTGGGGTCGGCTGTCTTGAGGAGCTGGGCAGTGTCTCCTCAGCTTCTGGGTGGCCCTGCACTGGGACAGACCCCCACAATTTGACTAGGATTGCTGAAACATCCTTTCCTTGCCCCGTCCCTCCAGAATGGAGGCTGGAGGCGGGCAATTGTCTCTTGTATTCTTTAGAAGAGGGTGATGTTGTTGTCTCAGGTCATGAAGCCTCAGTTGCAGAGGTTTTAGTCCCTCCCAGGGTAAACAGACGAACGTGGTTTGGTTTTGGGGGGACTTGCTCGTAGTCCTCACAGAGCTGCTCCTTTGCTACCCATCAGCATCAGCCTTCCACACCTCAGGTCCTCAGTAGGCGCTCGGTTCTTCTTGGAGTGATGCCCGTGCCCAATGCTCACCTCTCCCTGTCACTTCCGGGGTCACTGTCCCCCGGGGCAGGCTGGGATCTTGGGCTCTGGGTTCTCTGTCTTCAGAAAGGCCTGGCCCCCGTGCATGGAGGTTGAGTCATGGTCTGTCCTCTCAGGTTGGCGGATTGGGAAGGGAGAAGGCTTCGCTGACTTGGAGTATGCCATGATGGTGTCGATGGAGGCTGTCCGCGACGAGACACCTGTGGTCACGGTCGTCCACGACTGCCAGGTGCGTTCTGCTAAGAGCCAGGCAGGGCGACGCCACTCTCCTGCCAGTGGTCCAGTAAAGGGAAACTGAGGGACAGACAGACAGACAGACAGACCCCGGCCTCGTGGGTGCTCGCATCAGGTTTGGTGCTCATGGGCGAGGCCGAGTCCCGTCCACAGAGGGAGGGACAAGCTGCCCAGCCAGTACCCTTCTTCAGCCATCCCTCAGTCAGCTCCATTGTCCCTCTGTCTGGCAGGTCGTTGACATTCCTGAAGGACTCGTGGAGGACCACGACCTCACCGTGGACTATGTGCTCACACCCACGCGGGTCATCAAGACAGGGTGTCAACGCCCCAGGCCAAAGGGCATCATGTGGTGTAAGGTATGCCGACTGTGCAGCAGGTCCTCCCTCCCCGCTTCCCCAACCCTGGCCAGGCTGACCGAGTCCAGTCCCCGGGGCCTGACCCAGGCTGACCTAACCGAGTCCACAGCCCGGGGCCCAACACTGGCCACGCTGACCGAGTCCAGTCTCCGGGGTCTGACCCAGGCCGACCTAACCGAGTTCAGAGCCCGGGGCCCAACACTGGCCACACTGACTGAGTCCAGTCCCCGGGGTCCAACACTGGCCAGCTTGACTGAGTCCAGTCCTTGGGGCCTAACACTGGCTGACCCAACCAAGTCCCAGGACCCAAGGCCCGATTCTGGCCAGGCTGACCAAGTCCCAGTCATCATGGCCCAACACTGGCCAGACTGACCGAGGCACCCCCACCGTGGACAGTCCACAGGCTCAGTGTGCCGGAGCAGATCCGTGCGTTTGAGTTCTGGTCTCAGTGAAGATATAAGAACAAAGGTGCCTTGGAAGAACACTCCTTAGAAGCCACAACAGTGAGACTTCATCTCTCAGACTTCGAACATGTCATCAGGAGGGACCAGTCCCTGGAGAAGGACATCATCCTTGGTAAAGTGGAGGGTCAGCGGAGAAGAGGAAGACCCCCAATGAGCTGGATTGACGCAGTGCCAGCAGCTGTGGGCTCAAGTGCAGCAGGGGTTGTGAGGGTGGGTGGGGCAGGACCCGACGGGGTTTGGTTCTATTGTGCGTCAGATCATTATGAGTTGGAACTGACTAAACATCACCTAACAACAACAACGTGTCCCTCAGCTTTAAGAGTTGCCTCCTCCTCTTCCAGACTGTTAAGTATTCGACCACTAACTAGCACGTTGGTGGCTGCAGCTCACCAAGTGGCACCAACTGACCTGGGCTTCTCCAAAGCACAAGAACTTGGAGTCCGCGATCCCAGCCTGTTCCTGGAATGGTGGTCCCGGGAGTCACCGTCAGAGGTCCTGGGGAAGGAAGAACCGGTGAGCGAACACTAAAACTCCGTACACATGGGGTCACCCCACGACAGCAGCTGGTAGCACCAACAGAGCCCAGCCTCAGCAGTCAGCCGGCCCAACCCCTGGGTACTGCCTTTTAAATGGAAATGTTCTATCTGTGTATGTAGCTTCGAGCAAAACCACATGGGACAGAGGGCACCCTCCCGCCCCCCAGCCTGCCTGATGGTGCCACGCTGTGGGGTGGCTAAGTGAGGACGTGCCTTACCCATCAGCCTACAGGGGAAATCTGCGGTCACCACACTGAGGACCCACCATGAGGCCGGCTCTGCTGGGGGGATGAACAACATTCTGCCCGTGTCTCCCACTCTTCCACCCTGATTCCCTGGAGCTGGAAAGAGGCCTTCTTGGGGCCTGGAAGTCTACTTGTCCCCTCAGGGTTCCTGGCCCACAGGCGGTGGCCAGGGTGGACGAGCGCTTGCTCCCTGACCAGCCCTTACCACAGCCCTGAGGTCTGAGCAGCTGAGTGGACCAGGGTGGGAAGGGCAGGTCACTCCAAGTCCAGTTTTTGGATGCACGGCAGGGGAAGGGATATTGAGAGCACCTCACGTGGAGGCGAGTTCAGGACGGGAGTGCGGCTGGCCTCCCAGAGCACGTCAGAGAAGGCCATCGGTGGCAGCAAGCGAGAGGAGATGTGCAGTCCCCCCAAACCCCTGGGAAGAAGAGTCATGCCTAGGGAATCCCCGAGCAGAATCTGCAGGTTTGCACTTGAACAGTGTGAAAATGACCAGTTAGGTCATTTGACATCCTTACACCAAAGACAGCCACACTCTGCCAGAGCTTTCTGCTTACGGGGCAATGTGAAACCTCCCTGGCTGCTGGGAACCCCTCCTCTCAGCAGACGGTAGTCACTGATTGGCTTTGGCAAGACCCCCAAACTTCTGCAAAGCCATTTCTCGATCTGGGCCCATATTCTCCGCTCTGTCCTGCCTGGTCGTCACTGTGCACTGACCACGTGAAGCCGCGATGCGTTCTTGCCCCTGAGTGCTATGTAAGGAGCCCTTTCTCAGGAGAAAGATGAGGCTCTTGGCTCCTGTAACGATTTATTGTCTCCCAAAACCTGTATTTGGTTGCTGTGAGTCAGAATTGACTGTAACTGGGTTTGGTTGTGGGGTTTGGAGCATTATGAAAGAACATTTTCACTGACATTGGATGGGAACAAAATCCCCAGGTACTAATAAAGGTAGGAGCCGCTCCTCTGAAAACCTACTACACAGGGTCGCTGTGAGCCGGAACCAACTCAATGGCATTTAACAACAGCAAACCTTGGGTAGCCCTCCTCAGACCCATCTTCTTAGCTCTTGGGACATTTCAGTGCTGCTCACCACATGATCGGCGGGTCAAACTCACCAGCGGCTCCTCATAAGCCTTGTGTAGAGTCACTATGAGTTGGAACCAACTCAATGGCAAACATTGGTGTGTCTTTCCATGATATTCTTCTAGCCTTGGGCTCATTGTTGTGGAGACCTGGTTCCAGACCACCGCAGTAAAGCGAATACCACAGTCGGCGCAGTCTGAGGAATGTTTGGGTTTCCCGGTGAAAGCGGTGCCGACAGTGGACAATAGTCGGCCAATGATGCAACAAGCATGGTGAGAACGCTGGAAATCTCATGAAAATGACCAAAATCCGGCACTGAGACAGGGAGTGAGCACAGGCTATTGGGAAAACGGCACCGACCATCAACGCTTAGAAGATACAGCAGGTGTGTAGTGCAGTAAAGGCCTGCCCATCAGAGGACCCAGTGTAAGGTTGGAGTGATGACTAGCAGGGCAGAAATACTGTTTAGCGTCTGATTAACAAGCTTTCACTGCACATGGAAAATGGCAACAGGAGACAGATTCTGAACAGCCAGCCAGGAAGGGTCATACCAGGGGCCTCTTGCCCCCCACAGGATGGCCCTGCCACTGGGCAGCGAGAGCTTGGGAGCCACACGCGCACACACACAGCAGGGGAATGCCACTTTCTAGGTCCAAAGACGCGTCTGGGGGTAGGTGAGGGGGAGCAGGGCCTGACGCCAGGCTCTGCCAGTCCTCACGGGAATCCATGCCTCTGATATGTGCTGTGTTCTGGGAAGGGCATCGCGTCCACTGTGGAGACCCTCTGCGTGGCCAGTGGGGGTGGGGTGGGGAGTGTTTCTATGTTGTCTGTATGTGTGGTACCGCGATTGAAGCACTGTCTAGCTGGGTGGTGTGTGCGGTGGGGTGGGGAGAGTTTGTATGTTGTCTCTGTGTGGTACCATGATTGAAGCACTGTCTAGCTGGGTGGTGTGTGCGGTGGGTTGGGGAGAGTTTGTATGTTGTCTCTGTGTGGTACCATGATTGAGGCACTGTCTAGCTGGGTGGTGTGTGCGTTGCTGGAAGGATAAGCAGAGCCAATGAGGTGCAGTCCCACCCAGCCAATGTCGGAAGGGATTTCTGCCTGGGAATGTGGACACCCCCTGGGCGGTCTGCTGGTGGACAGGCTGTGAGGGCTCCAGCATCCCAGTCAGTCATAGGGTCAGCCGCTCTGACCCTGAACCACGTCTCCTCCTTCCACATAAGTATGCAGTCATGTGTCCTGGAACGTGGTCACCCTTCCTAAACACGAAGTCGTCTTGTTAGGTGCCATGGAGTTGGCTCCGACTCATAGTGACCCCTGTGCACAACAGAATGGACCTCTTCCTGGTCCTGCGCCAACCTCACAATCTATACTGTGCTTTGACCCACTGCTGGTGCCACTGTGCCAGTCCATCTCATTGGGGGCCTTTCTCTTTTTTGCTGACCCTCCACTTTACCAATCATGATGTCCATGTCCAAGGACTGGTTCCTCCTGTTAATATGCCCAAAGTAGGAGAGATGAAGTCTCACCCTCTTGGCTTCTAAGGAGCCTTCTGGCTGCACTTCTTCCAGCATACATTTGTTGGTACTTTTGGCAGCCCATGGCGCTTTCAATATTCTCCTCCAACACCAGAACTCAAAGGCATCAAATCTTCTAGTGTCTTCCTTATTCATTGCCCAGCTTTTGCATGCATATGAGGTTATTGAAAATACCGTGGCTTGGGTCAGGCACACCTTAGTCCTCAAACTGACATCTCTGCTCATTTGTGCAGCACATTTGTCCAATGCAATACGTCGTTTGATTTTGTGACTGCTGCTTCCGTGAGCGTTGACGGCTGAACACGAGGTCCAGAACCAGGGAGATCGTTGAAAGCTCATGACCTCTGTTTCCCTCCCATTTTCAGTCTCCACCAAAACATCTGGAGTCTGAGCTCTTGAAGAAGGTGGGACAGGGCTGTGGACAGACACTGGCTTAGCTGGGCTGTGGCCACAGGACTGTCCAGGGCCCAATGACCACTGCAACCTAGGAAGTAGCCCTGGTTGGCACCAGGCTGCTTAACCTGCAGTTGGGTGACTTGAAGCTACAAGCAGCTCCGAGGTAGCAAGACCTGGAGATCTGCTTTGGGGGCAGCTCCATTCTGCCACATGACGTCACTGTTAGAAGGGACTCAGTGTGCCATGGTGGCGCAGATGGGGTCTTGCTATTGGTTGTCAGACACCCTGCTGTCCTGGGGTATGGTGGGGGTTGGGGCAGGAAGCCCTGGGGAGTTGCTGTTCCTGTCCTGTGACCCTTAGCTTGTTTGTGGGGTGGGTGCCACAGGAGAGACCAACTCTGAGACAGCAGCTGGTATCCAGTGTCCCTGAGGCTGTGAGGGCAGCTGGACAGACCACCTAGGGTGGGGGTCCTCTGCCCAGGCCCTTGCTGGTCTACATGGACGCTCTGTCTTTGCAGATCCGCCCTGAGGTACTACAGCGAATACCTGTGCTGAGGAGCCTCCGCTGGCGGGAGCAGCAGGCTGGGAAGGACGTCACGCTCTGGGGCCAGCAGCAGCGGCATGAGGCTTCCCCAGACGCCACCCAGAGGCCCTGGGACGTCCCTCAGGATGTCCTCCAGCCAGCCAAGGGACCTGTGCCCACAGCCCACAGCCGTCAGCACAGGGGTCGTTCACCTCCCACCATCACGGCCACTGTGTGTGTGGAGGGCCTCCCTGCAGGCACCCGTGTGGGTCAGCTGAAGAGAATCCTCCAGGAGCACCAGGCCACCCCACTGCGACTCACCTGGCAGGGCCCGCGGCGTCCGGCACTCCTGGGCTACAGGGACGCAGCTGAGGCCGAGCGGGTGGTCACCTGCCTACAGGACCTGCACCTGGGTACCAGCACCCTGCAGGTGGAGCTGGGGAGCAGTGGGGGGACAGAGAGGACGGGCAGAGCCAGGCAGGGGGACAGGAAGAATGGGCAGAGCCAGGCAGGGGGACAGTGACGGCCAGCAGAGCCATGTGGGGGGGGACAATGAGGGCCAGCAGAGCCAGGCAGGGGGGCAGTGAAGAACCTCACCAGCTGTTCATGCCTCACGTCTGCCTCTTGGTTCTCCTGGGGACGGGACGTTCGCCTGAGTCGCACGTGAACAGGAGCCTGAAAACGAACTGGGCTGCCGGCCTCCCTCCGCCCATCCATCTGCCCTCCTGTTGGTTGTTTCCAGCAACTCCACAGGCTTTGTCTCTGGGAATGAGGATGGCGGTCTGCGTTGTTTCAGCCGAACCTGAAGCTAGAGTCGCCCTGTGACTGTTGAGTTACACAAGTCAATCAGCGCTCCATCCTGGGTAGGCCTAGTTACTTGGTGTCTCTGTCACTTGCAATAAAACAATCCAGAGTTACCATATGCAGGTGGTCCCCACCCACACGCATTTTCATTACGGTGAAGCACACTTAGGATCTTTGGGTTTGGTACGTCTTCTCACCATACTGCATCGCTGGCTTTAGTGGTTGGTGTGTAAATGTGAATAATATTAACTAGTCTTCCTCGTGGGCATATGGATATTGTCCTATCACAAGCAACATTATACTTCAGGATAGATCTTGAAATGTTCTTTTGATGATGAATACGACACCATTGCTCTTCAATTCATGTCTCACACTTCAGACAGTATCAGGAGGAACCAGTCCTTGGAGAAGGACTTCGTGCTTGGTACAGTGGAGGTCCAGTGTAAAAGAAGACCCCCGAGTTGGATTGGCACAGTGGCAGCAGCAATTGTGAGGTTAGCACAGGACTAGGCAGTGTTTTGTTCTGTTGTACACAAGGTCGCTGTAAGTCAGCACCGATCCAACGGCACCTAACAACCACCTCATCGTACTACCTGCAAAGGGGGTTCAAAAAGTGCATGGAAAATGGAAAGAAGAGGTATGTTTTGAAACCCCCCTCACTGCAGTGTGCGATCCCTGAATAACTGCGAACGAGAATGGAAACTTTAAAAAAGAACCGGCGAACGACAGAGTCATTGGACTGGAGCCCGGTCGTAAATCGGGGAATTGAGCTAGCTGGCTCACAGCGCCCCCTCTGTGCCAGAGCAGAACTGGGCTCCTCAGTGTTGATTGTGGCTGAGTTCAGAAGCGGATCACCAGGCCTTTCTTCCAAGGCACCTCTGGGTGGGTCCAAACCACCATCCTCTCAATGAGCAGCCGAGCAACCATGTGCACCACCCAGGTAATAAGGGTTAGGGTGTCTTCAGAATTAGGAAGAAGTCAATCTAAAGACACAAGTTCTCCAACTGTCAGTGTCCACACCTTGTCCCACCCTCCCTGCATCTGGGAGTCTTTACAAGGAAGAGCAATGACACAGTGCAGACTTAACAGCCTTTCCTGTGTGTTCCCAGGACCCTGGGTTGTTGCGAACACCATAATTGTGTAAATCACATAATGATAATAAGGGGGAATCATGGAAAATGACCCCTTAGCGAGGTGCCATTCAGGGTGCGGGTCGTTCCTGGAATGTCCCTAATGGTGGGTAGCTCTGCCAGTGGACGGCCAGCGAGGAGGCTTGTCCAGGATTCTAAGCACGCGCCCTGCACTGTGATCGTGAACCTGGGCTTGGGAGCAGGACAGCAGGGCCATCTGCTTTCACCGAGCAGAGGGCAAGCGTGAGACCTGCCCCGGCCATCACTGCCCTGTCCGAAGGCAAAGGGACGGCTGTTCTGTTGACTGTAACAGGATGGTTCAGGGGCAGGTGCTGTCCCGTTGTGTTGTACACAGGGTTGCTATGGGTCAGAACCAACTCAGTGGCACCTAACAATTACAATATGTCTCTGGGGTTCCTGCCATGGCAGCAGTAAGGAGCCCAGACATCTAGGTGCTCCCCTATCTCATGTTGGTTTTACTGTCGCTGTTGACCATTTGGTCTCGTAGCACTCCTGGTGACCTTTACTCTGTGATGCTGTTAATTTAGCTACAGGGGAGCATGGGGTGGGCTCCTCTGCTTCTTACAGCCCTCAGCCACCCGTTCATTCAACTCGAGTGCCCCCTCACCCCGTGAGAGGACTGAGAACAGCTCACAAGCAAAAAAAAAAAAAAAAAAAAAAAAAAGAAAAACATAGATTGTAATAAAAGAAAAAAAAAAAAAAAAAAAAAGAATCCACTGAAGGAAATGCTGGATGGAGCTCCCGGAATAAACAGAACTCAGGTCTCAGAGTGAAAGACCCGGGCACCTGGCTGCTCGGAAGACACACAGAAGTTCACAGGAGAGGCTCATAGGCAGCATCTTCGACAGGAAACCACGGCTCCACCCATCAGGACACAGTGGGACAGACGCCAAGAGAGCGTAGCGGTGTGTGGGCACTGATGTGGTGTGGAGGAGAGACGAAGACACGCTGTGAGCAAGAAGATGAGTGAGACCATGGAGAAGGCACAAGCCCCTACTCATACTCAGACCACAGACATGGCCGGGAACCGGGACAGCCCTCAGACCCTCAGACATCCTGAGGAAGCAATCACCGGGAGAGGGCTTTGGGGATCCTGCTCAGTCTAGGTCTGTCCCTCCAACGATGAGCAGATATCCCCAAACAGTATCAAACCTCTGTGGACATGTTCATACAGGAATCAGAATGAGACTCAAAGGTCATTGCACCCATCCAAAAGAGAATAGACTGGGAAGAAGAAGAAGAAGAAACCATATTTACAAAGAGAAATTCTACAAAATAAAAAAACTTCAGTCGCTGAACCAAAGACAGAATCCATGCACACACAGATAGACTCAGTTTGTTAGAAGACCGAGCCAACGGTTCATCCCTGGAGCTAGAGCAGAAGGAGCAAGACAGAGAGAAGGCAATCGTCAGGAAGAATCCAAGTCCAGACTTCCCTTCAGGAGGTTGGCAGAGGAAAGATGAAAGCAGCGGGACACACGGGAGGAATTGGAGAGCTTGAGGGAAGCGTGGACGCTATCTCCTGAAGGCCCATGGAGGGGACTGCATTCACTGGAATGCCGCAAAGTCTAAGAGCCGTTGAATGTAAAACTCTCACTCAATTCACAAACATTTAGAAAGCCAAACAAAAACCTTCCTTCAGCCCAAGAAAGTCTTACTTTCCCACATGAAACATTGCAAAGCATGCTGGCTCCATAAGATAAGCACTGAGCTATGAACCACAAGGTCAGCGGTTTGAGCCCACCAGTTGCTCTGCAAGCGAAAACTCTGAGGCTTTCTGTTCCTGCAAAGATTTAAACCCTCAGAAACCTTATAGAGGATCACTGTGAGTCAGAATCAGCCTGACGGTTTAGAACAGCAAAACAATCCACGAATAACCAGAAAGAGTTGGCAAATGGCGACAGCCACCAAAACTCTTAAGTGTTGTCATGAAGTGCCAACCAGTCAGTTCCAACCCATAGCGACCCTGTAGAGGGTTTCCAAAGAGCAGTGGGTGGGTTGAACCGCTGACCTAGTGGTTACCTGTCCAGTGCTGATCCTACACACCAGGCGTCTATAGGTATATATGTATGTATGTATGTGTTGTTGTGAAGTGCCCTTGAGTTGATTCCGACCCATAGCGACCCTTATAGGGTTTCCAAGGAGCATATATATATATGATGATGTTCTGTGCCATGGAGTCGGTTCCAACTCACAGTGACCCTGCACATGGTTTCCAAGGCTGTAAATCTTTATGGGAGCAGAAAGCCTCATCTTTCTCCCACGGAACAGCTGGTAGTTTCAAACTGCTGACCCTGAGGTTAGCAGCCCAAGTTGTAACGGCTACGCTACCAGAGCTCCTTATATATGATGTATGTATGAGTTGGAACCGACTCCACGGTACTTAACAACAACAACAATATATAAATATATAAGAGATTTGTTAAGTGCCATCGAGTCAGTTCCAATTCATAGTAACAGTGTGTAAGGTTTTCAGTGGATTTGAACTGCTGACTTTGTGGCTAGTAGTCTAGTCCTTATCCTATATGCCACACCAGGACTGGGGAATAAACCTGTAAAGCAAATCAGGAATCACATTTTTTAAAATGACAAACTTTCCTTAAAGAGAGAAAAGAGCTGAACACAGAGACATCATGTTCTCGGAGTCTGGAATCCTGATGTAGCACTGCAGGGAAAGGCACCGAACCACCAGGTCCGCGGTTCAAACCCACCAGCGGCTCCTCGTCAGAACTAACTTGACGGCACTTAACAACAAGACCACAGTCTTGGATGAAATGATTCACTGTTCTGAAGGTATTTCTTCTCCCCATATGAAGAGATGCTGTAACTTCCCTGTTAAAACCTGAGGACACGTTTTTCCTGGAACTCAGTTGGGTGGACAGTGAATGCTAAGTGTAGTCAAAACTAAACAAATAATGAGCCCACTTCTGTTGAGTGGATTCTGTTTCATAAAAACTCCGTAGAGCAGAGTGGGACTGCTCCTTAGGGTTAAGCCTACACATCTTTACAGAAGCAGAAAGCCTCAAGTTTGTCCCACAGAATGGCTGCTGGGTTTGAATTGCCAACCTTGTGGTTAGCATAGCCCAGTGCCTAACCCGCTGTATCACCAAGGTCCCCAAATACAGTCCAGATTAAGGAAAACCAATTTGCCATTGTGGGTATCAAAACGTGCTCTAAAGCGTCCATACTTAAAACGGTATGGCACCTGCAAGTGGGCAGACCAGAAGGTCCCCCAAACAGGTCAGAGTCTAGAAGTTATTTCAGGTTGGGGATACATTTCCTTCCTAAGAAATGTGGACTGAGAGCTATTGGTTGCCGTTTGTTGTTGTTAAGTGTTGTCTGGTTGATTCTGACTCATAGCGATCCTGTATAGGATTTCCAAGAATTGACTGGTGGGTTTGAACCACCGACCTTGCGGTAATCACATTTAACTTATTTGAATGTCTAAACATAAAAAGAATGTTTAGAAACGTGGAGATACTAGAAGAGACTTTATACACACACAAAAACAAGGCGCTGAGACTAAGGGGGAGTGTGTTCCTTGGAGTGTGAAATTTTGATTGGCATG